GTCTGCCCCAGTGTCTGCAGCTTGGGGTTATTCCCACTGGAAAACACATTTTCCATTGATTTCATGCAGGGACCTTTGGCAGGAGATGAAGAGGCAGGTGTCCACCACAGCCCTAGGTGCCAGCTCGTCAAGGCTGAAGGAATTCCAGCCAAAACTGCCACATGTGATGAGTATTTGTGTGTCAAACTCATCCCAAGCTGCAGCTGTCTGGATGCACTTCTGGCTGTGGGCAGCCTTGGCAGAGGGACCTCAGCTTCTGGAAGTCCTTTTATTTAATTCTGTATGAGTGGGGCAGGTGAAGGAGATACTTGGACAGGGTCTTGGGAAGGATTTAGCAGGCTTCTCCAGAGAGTACAAGGAAAGTTGATTAGCTCTTTAGAATCAAAGTTATTTGGCTCCCGACTGGTATTTCTCTTGCTCTGCTTGGAATAATTTCTCTCACTCTGGGGTTTATGTTGAAAAGATTCTTTGAGTTCAGAAACTAATGATCAAGAATGACCATCTGTGACCCCTTGGTAGGCATCTGGATGTCCATGTTCTGCTGTTGAGATAGCACAGCCCTGCTGCTACTGGGACTGGAAGATGTACCATCAGATGTAATCATGCTTTCCAGCTGCACACGTTGGTTTTTTAGTTCTTCCTAAATGAAAATGAGTTTTGCAGGTGGCTGACACTGGGGGATAATTTGCTTCTGTGTTTTGAAGCCCTGTAGCAAACCCAAAGCTGTGAATTGAAGATAGAAATAAGACGTAGAGCATGGTTTCAGAAAAACCTCCCTTTTCTGTGCTGGAGGAACAACTCAGCTGCTGATGCAAACCTTTCATCTGCCCAAGGGAAGGGTTATTATCTTCAGCTAAAGCCGATCAGGTGTTGAGCAGCCTTTGAGCAGCACATCCAGGCAGTTATTTGCATGAGAAATACTCTGGAAAGATGAGACTTTGATCTATCTGCAACTTCTGAATTCCCATTATGTTTTCTGATTGTACCACCCATTGTGAGAGGCTGGGACACCTTCCCTTGGCTGAATTTTGTGCTCTGCTCCTCCTTGTTATCTTTCCATTCTTCTCATAACTTTCCTGCTCCTCTGTGTAACTGAAGAGAAAGCTGGAGAAACATTCATGATAGCAAATCAGAGACCATGGGCCTGGCCTTTGGGAGACAGGGAGATGCTGGGAAAGAGGTGCTGGAAGGAAGACTCAAGGCTCTTTTGGTTGGGAGGGATCTCTGCAGGGCTCTGGTAGTGGGACTGTCAGCAGCCCTGGGCTGGGACAGCCCTGGCTTTGTCATGCTGGGCCCTGAAGACATCCTGGGGTGCCCTCTGGGTGAGCTGCACCTGCCTTGCTTCTTAAGAGCTGGAGCAAATAACCGTGGGGAGTTTCCAGAAATACATTTCTCTTTTCCTTTTTTCTTTCCTGCTGGAAAATGCTGATTCACTCCAAGTGTTGGGCTGGTCTGGATGAATGGAGCTGGAGCTTCTGACCTACTATCTAGGGGTTATTTGAGAGACCAGCTTGGTTTGAGTTTGTCATCCCAGGGCTGTTGGACCTTTCTCCAACGTGCCCTGGGTCTGGAAAAATGGCAATGTGTTTCAAAATGATCTGGATAATGTGCAAACAAGGATGTGGCAGCTTCCCAGGGATCCTCGTTAGCTTGGTTGCTCCTCAAGCTGCTTGCTCACATGTGAACATTGGCTGGGGTTTTGGGGGAGCAGTGTAATTGTTTCTGGAGTAGGCAGGAGGCTCAGCACTTGCTCTGGGCTGCCTCCTCC